GCAATTGATTTGCTCAAACTGCAATTTCACTGTAGAAAGATTAGAAGCCAAATATCCTGATTCTCAGTCCAAGATCTTTGAATGAGAGTATCAACATAATGCTCCTTTTTTTCTTTCAGAGATGTTTTCAGGTTAATTCATAAAGCACATGGTTCATATCGAAAGACTTGAGCTAGGTGTGCCCTTACTGCAGTAAATTATTATTGATCTTTTATTTTTCTGATTTTCTCGTTAGAAAGTAAGTTTTCTCAGGGAAGGAGCTGAACATGTCTTGTCCGCTGACATCCTCAACAGTCAGCCCAGTCCAGCATAGCATGAAAGAGAGCACCACATGTTTTTAAAAAACGAGCTGCTGGTATAGAGAGTAGGATCATGGTATTTGTTCTGCAAGTTTGGCCTGTGTTGCTAGAACAAATAGATGGTTTATGGTTAAGTCAATTGAAAAGTTGGTATTTCATAATTAATCAAGGAACTCTGCCTATTTTATTAATTTTTAAAAATGTTTTTACTTTGTAAAAAGGGCCAGTGGCAGGTATCCCATCTCTTTTAGTAAATATTGTTCATCGACCTAAAATATTCCCACGCTCACGGAAGTTCTTGCAACATCTTCTAGCCTCAGTGATATCAAACACTAATTATTAATATTGCAGCTATGTTAATTGAGACTATTTAACTCGATACTAGGTCCTCTGCTAAGCTCTTTACAGGCATTATCTTATTTAATATTCACAACAATTTTTTTGAGTTAGGCACTAATACTATCTCCTTTCACAAAGAAGGAAAGTGAGAGGTGGAGAGAGTGCATGACTTGGCCAAAGTGACACAAGTATTAAGAAGCAGACCTGGGCAGTGAGGCCAGATCTTTCAGACTCCATGGTTCTAACCAATACTCTGCTCAACAGCAGCCAGCACCAGGGCAAAGACAGGAGGAGAGAGTGGGGAGATACCATCGGAATGGTGGAGGAGGCAGGGATGTCGATAGACCTGGGACTGAAGAAATGACTGGGACTGAAAAGCACCATGAGAACATCTAAGAGGTCAGGAAGGAGAAATGGCACTGGGCTGAATGGGAGAAAATGAAAGCCTGAACCAAGGCAGCAGGAATAAAGCAGAAGATGAATGACTACAGCTCAGTGACTGTTTGGACAAGTTGGGTAAGAGATGGAGCATCCAAAAGATGCACAGTTTTTAGCTTTGGTGCCTGGGGAGAGCAGTGACACCATTAACTGAGAAGAGAGGGCCACCTAGTCTTGCAGCCATGCCTTCCCAGCAGCCCCAGATGTTTTATGACCTTGATCATCTGATCAAAGTTGAGCTCTTTTATAACTCATTTACTTAGTGGCCTTTATTCTACTCAGTGATAGTCTAATGAAGAACTAATTCCTACCAATTTCCCTCTGCTAGTTGATATTCACTTTTTGGAAGGAGATTTCTGATGGAGATATTTTTTCCAAAAGAGTAACTATCATAGTGAAGATCTCGTCATGATCAGGTCATGGAACAGCTACTAAGGGCTGGCAGGTCCTCGTGTTACTCTCATATTACAACAGCTGATTCTACTATTGGCTCTGACCTTAATGTATGTTAAAAAATATATAAGGTCGAGAGCACATTGAGTTTGCAATTTTTTGGTATATTCTGATGATAAATTTTATTATAGAAACATCTGACAGGTAGCATAGACTTTTAGTGTGCAAAGAAAATGGAATTCTCATAGGAACACATACTGTCCAAGTTTTCTTCCCAATTTTCAGCTTCTCAAGGCTTCTGATGGTATTGGGACCCAATCTGGGATGATTTGCTCTGAAATAAATCCACGATATTCACTAGTGTATTAACGCCTATTAGGGAGCCCTCTTCTTTCTCTCACTCTGTCTTTGAAAAGGCTGTGCATTTGTTTTATATAAATATACTCTGTCCATTTCTGAGAGGAGCAAAGTCATAGCCAAGGACTAGTTTGAAATATATTTTTCAGAGACAGTGAGAAAAGTTACATGAAATTCTCAACTTCTGTATTCAAGTCGAATAGCTAGAATCCTGCTCTACTTGAGCAAAGTCTTATTCAAAGCCTGATTCTTGTCTCACAATAGGATGTACATTCTGGGAATTTACAGTTATGTCAAAGAGAAAAATTCTGGAGAGAAGGGGAAAGAAAAATATGTCTCCTTTGGTACATATGCAGACAACATATGCTCTGATGCTTGCCACATCCTGTTGAAACACTGCTGACAGATTCCAAATGAGCAAGAGGGAGGAAGTCAAGAATTAACAAGCAGCTAGGAGACTCCATGGTGAATCATTATTCAAAGAGCAAATGTACTTGGCTATTAAAATAAATGACAAGATGTTTCAAAGAAGGAGACTCGTAGGCCAATTTTCTCAATTGAATGTTTTCAAACACCTACTATGACTTGATACAGTGATAAGTGTCTTGGATGATCTAAAGATGAAACTTACACTGTTTTGCCTTTAAGATAATAAGATAAAATTGAAGGGGATAAGTACTGTAGAGAGATTTAAAGAAAGTACTATGATGAACATGAAAGGACGGAGAGATTAATTTAGATCAATATCAACTAGTTCTAATAATATAAGACTTTTTTTGGGGCAACTTTACTGTAATACTGCAGAATTATTTGGAGAGTCAAACATCTGGCCATTAGGAACTCTCCTTTGGTATTATGCTAATCTCATAGTTTTATCTTATATTTATGGTACACAGCTTAATACTAAAGCATGTATAAACCAGGAGTTAAGAGTTGTATGAAGAAAAGATTGCATGTTAATTTCTGGTTAAACTTTTGTTTTAACAGATTTTGCAAGTTTCAAATATTCTACTTGTATATGGTGGAAAATTATTTGTTCTTCATGTCAGGATAGAAGATAACTCTCAATTTAACATTTCTTCATGACCTCACTTAAGCAAAAGGGGTCACAGATTAAACTGCCACCCAGCAGCAAATTGTCTCATGCAGGACCTATTTTATTTGCCATCATGTTCCTGATGATATTGGCCTTTGTGGTCAGGCAGGTATGTGAAGTCAATGTCTAAAATGGCACGTAGATTCCTTGTTTGGACACGAAGAATAGCTCAAGCTCCATCACAGCAGACAATATGATGGTCAATGTGGTGATGACCCAGTTCCCTTCGCATCCCTTCTAACCAAGTCCAAAAATCTGAACCCATGTGTCTTAGTCCTTTTGGGCTGCTATAACAGAATACCATATACTGTGCAGCTTATAAACAACAGAAATTTATTTCCCACAGTTTCGGAAGCTGGAATTCAAAGATCAAGGTGCTGGCAGATTCAGTGTCTGGTAAGGGCACGCTTCCCGGTTCACAGACAGCTCCTTCTTGCTGTGCTCTCACATGATGGAGATGGCAAGGGAGCTCTCTGGGGACTCTTTGTAAGGGCACTAATCTCATCCATGATGGCTCCACCTTCATGACCTAATCACCTCCCAAAGGCCCCACCTCCAAGTACACATTGGAGGTTAGGTTTCAACATATGAATTTTGGGGGGACACAAACATTCAGTCTGTACCATCATGGAACACTTTCACTGACCATCACCTGTGCTGCTCTTTGCCCAACTGTCCTTCGCCTACAGCAGCTTCCAAGAGTCAGAAGTGCCCGGGGGCTGACATCTTCCCATGGCCCAGTAACCAATGACTGCTAGGTGTGGGAGAATGATAGCCAAGCTCCGTTGTCTCTGTTTGGGACAACTCTAACTCACATTCCAGAGGTCCCTTATGGGGTTGGCTGAGGTCCACTCATTGATCTCAAGGACTTTTGCCCAAGGTCTCCCCTTCCCTTGGTTTCTATCCCTTTCCTATCCTGCTTCCCTGTTTCTTATCACATTCCCATTAATAAATCTCTTTCACACAACTCTTCGTCTCAGGATTTGCTTCGGGGGAACCTTATTTAATACAGAATAATTTCATTATTTAATAATATGGTTGACATTTACTACTTCCAAAAATAATTTGAGGGAGTTACTTATGACATTTTCCCTTAAATTTGTACTCTTTACTAGTCTACATAAACAGTGAACTATAAGTTCCTTCCTATTCGTAAAACCTATCTCGGTACAGCAACTATGGAAAATGGTATGGAAGTTCCTCAAGAAATTAAAAATAGAATGATCATATGATCCAGATATTCTGCTTCTGTGTATATTTCTACAGGATATGAAATCTCTGTCTCAAAGAGATATCTATACTCCCATTTTTACTGCAGCATTGTTCACAGTAGCCAAGATATGGAAACAACCTAAGTGTTCATCAGCTAATGAATAGATAAATAAAATGTGATACACACACACACACTGGAATTTTTTTTTTTTTTGATGAGGAAGATTCACACTGAGCTAACATCTGCTCCCAATCTTCCTCTTTTTGTATGTGAGCCACCACCACAACATGGCCCTAACAGATGAAAGGTGCAGGTCCATACCAGGAACTGAACCCAGGCCACTGAAGCAGAGCACACTGAACTTAACCAGTAGGCCACTGGGGCTGGCCTGACACACAATGGAATATTATTCAGCCATGAGAAAGAAGGAAATCCTGACATTTGCAGCAACATAGATGAACCTTGAGCACATTATGCTAAATGAAATAAATCAGACAGAGAAAGACAAGTACTATATAATCTCACTTATATGCAGAACCTAAAAACATCTACTCACAGAAACAGAGAGTAGAATGGTGGTTTGCAGGGGCTCAGGGGCGAGGGAAATGGGGAGATGTTAGTCAAAGGGTATAAACTTTCAGTTGGAAGGTGAATAAGTTCGGGAATCTAATGTACAGCATAGTGACTACCGTCAACAATACTGCATTGTGTGCTTGCAAGTTTCTATGAAAGCAGAGCTTGACTGCTCTAACCATAACCACCAACAACAAAATGGTAATCATGTGAGGTGAAGGATGTGTTAACTCACCTTATTGTGGTAAACATTTTGCAACATATACGTATATCAAATCATTGCATTGCACATCTTAAACTTACACAATGTTATAGGTCACTTAAATCTCAATAAAGCTAGAAAAAAGGAAAAATAAAAAGTCAAACCTATCTCGGACTGCCTGAAGCTTATCCTTACCAGTTTAGCAATTTATTCTCTACCTAGAAAAGCTCACAGAGTTCACACTATATTAACTCTTGCCGATCTCTTATAAATCTATTCAGTAAGGCTATTTCCAGCAGCAAGCCTCAGTGGGTGTGTGGAGGAAGGGCAGGGAATGGGGTGTGACGGGGCTGAGGCACTGCTAGATAAATGTTTTCCTCCACTTAAACATCTATTTTTATTATTTTCTGGTCCATTCCAAACAACAATATTAAAAATCACTTTTGAGGTTAAAATTTAATAAAACTTTTTTTAAAGGTCTAAATAGCAAAAAAGCTTGCTGCACCACATCATAATCTCACAAAAATTTTGCAAACCCTTCCATATGACCAGAATAGAATCAGAACGACTTTAACCTGCAAAACAATATCTCACATAGGAGCTAACCTAATTAATCAATTTCTCTGACCCACAGGTGGGCAGTGGGACTAAAATAAACCTGAAGCCAGCCCTCCACGGATGTCTGGAGGAAGAGAGAATTCCCACTACACCTCTCCAGCTACGTGATCTGGTGCAGTGCAGCTCTGCAGAGAAGCCAATCACAGCTACACAGGCGCCTGGAGTCATGGGGCAGAGAAAGCCATAAGACCGCATGAAAGATGGCCAACCTTGGGCAACACGGAGGACTGAGACAACACAGCCTAATGACCTTGCGAACTGAAGCCATGGCACCTGAGTAGAATCGGCTCTGATATTAGCCCAGCAGAGAGAGGAACTGAGATGGCTGCTAGCACTGGGATGCCAAAAGGCTGTCCCTTCTGGGTGGAGAAGCTCTGCCTACCAGCCCGGCAGAGACAAGGAAGCCTGGCTCTCCACTTTAGGGCCCCCAAATCTGCACCGTGCAGTGTGTGGAGCACGCAGTTACCACTGCCCACCTGCTGCAAGATCCCAAGCTAAAAAGTAACGTAAAAATTGTTCCCAGAAAAAAGTGAGCAAGAATCTTGAAGATTTGAAGAACATAAAGTGTCTTGATTTCATGCACCAGGCCCTGCCCCAAACCATTAGACCCACTGCTCCACAAGTAAAATTAGACCCAAACCATTAGACACACCTCTCCACAACTAAAAATTCTTATTTTAGTTTCATGGCTGGTGGGGCCCAGACAAGGTTTGTAATTCTTATCAAAAGAAACTCACTGTTTCTATTCCATATGTTAATAATGTGTATCATATTTTTACCCTTAGCTTTTGATGAGGGAAAGAATGGTTAAGGTTGCCCCAAGGAGGGGAAATAGCAAAGAAGCACATTGATATTAATATAATACACACACAGATTAAATGATAATAAAACACAGATTTTAAAGGTCAGTGGTTTTCTCTTAAACTTTCTCATTTCCCTATGACAATAGCCCCGTGAAGTCAGGAGGACAGGAAGTACCCTTCTATACTTTTTACAAAAACAAACAGAGATTCAGAGCAATGCAGTGACTTGGCTCCAGAACAACAGGTGCACAAGAAGCAAGCCTGCACACTGGCAGTTCATTGGATCTCATCTGCTCTTCTTGACACACCATATTGTTCGGGATCTTTGAACATGTGAAGTGGAGCCAATTCTTTAGAAATCCTCTGACTCCAAGGGGAGCAGCTAAAATGGCACCCCTCAAAAGATCTATGTGCATACTGAATTATAAATTATCAGATGTGATAATTCAATCGCCTAAATATTAAAGCATGTCCCAGTATGCTAAATGAAGTCATATTTCATCTTCAGAGCCACAGATATTACTGGTTGGATATATACATAATTCCTGTCTTCTTCATTCCCTTGTTTTTAATTCACTGACTACTGCAACCAACAGAGGTCACCTCAAACAATTTGGCAAAGGCATTCCAAATTGTTTACCATTAATGGTGTAAAAGGTAAACCCCGATATCCTCACTGGTCTCCTGTCTTTTCCTATTAAAACCCATGCTCCATAATCATTCTAGAGTCATTTGCCCAAACATAAATCTGACCATATCATCCTCTGCTTAAAAACACCCAGTGGTTTTCTGTGGTCTACATCCGAGCTGCTTCACTTAGCATGGTACTTGTGGTTTTCTTTGATGGGTTGTGTTTATCCCCCAGCCTCATGTCCTGAGATTCCTTGTCTTGTACAGCACTCTCAAGTAATTCCAAAATCCTTCGGGTCCACACAATTTTTCTCTGTTTTCTGTCACATTTCTCTTCCCCCACCCACTCAAAGCAAACATCTTTTCACCTAATTCTGTGTATTATTTGTGAGACTCATTTCACCTTGTACTTCCTTTAGAAGACTCACCTTATCCTGGCCAGCAGGCATACAAGCCTCTTCTTGTGCTCATCATTCCATATCCACATCTCCATCTTGAAACCGCTTACTCTTTTTATAACTGTGTGTGTGTGTGTGTGTGTGTGTATTTTTTCCTCTTACTAGAGTGGGAGGCCTTGACACCAGGGATGATGTTGATTTACTCATCATCTTTAGATTTCCAGCATCTAGTTTAAGGCTAAACACGTAGTAGGTCCTCAATAAATGTCTGGCTACCTGAGGTGAGGTGAGATTAAATTATTTCCTTTAAAACATTTTCTTTCATTTTTGTTTATATTAAATTTGATCTGTTCTTTTTTGTACTATTTTCCCTTTAACCTTTCCTCCCCCATTCAATTCTCTGCCAATTCTCTAAACTCTTGGCATAAAAAGCAGAATAAACTAACTGATTAGAACAGGCTCATTCAGTTCTCCTTAGCTCTAGGCTTACAAAATAGGTTGAGATAGAAAACTAAAAGAATCCACTTTGTTTCTTTAAAGGTTCCCAGGTGAATAAGTCCAATCAATTTTCTTCTCCAGAAGTCTCAGTGTAATAAAGCCTGCAGAAGGAAATTGATTAGGTATTAGAGCATACATCGCCCACTGAGCTCCCCATCCTTCCTCCCTTTGCCCTTGTTAATCATGCAATAAAGGGGCTGCTTGGAAACATGAGAAAAGCTGTGTCATCAGCCTCACTAATTTCATGATGGCAGAAATCTGCAAGTTGTGTTACAGCATCATTTTGTGGCCACTATGATTCCCATTTTACATCTCTAGAAACTAAGTGATGTGTGTCTTTGTACAGTTGTAACCACAAAGAGGAAATGAATCACGGTTTCTCTTTTCATAGCTCTAAGAATTCGGTTAAAATGTTCTCCTTCTCCAAAATAATGTACTGAGCACATTTCCTTGCTAGTTCAGTCAGAGTGATCAGTACCTGACCACTTTTATATTTGGTTTCACTTGAGAAAAAGAATTTGAGCTATGCATTTATTGTTAGAACTGTCAAAAACCTTAAGTGTAAAAATTTAAATAACTTGTTTTTTTTTACAAAGAACAGGAAGAATTGATTACTTGTATTTATTAAAAAAATAGCATTAGCCATTATCGTGCAAAAAGACATCTATTGCAATTTGCTCACTGAATTGTATAGGTTTTGGCCCTAGGAGACAAAAGACATGGATGGTGTGTCTATTACCAGGGACTATTATCTGTGGTGTTATTTGTACCATGAGCTGCAGCAAAACATCTGACAAAATGCATGCTGATGACCACAGGGGTGGTCAGTGATAAGCTCTTCTCACTGGGTGGATGTTATCTATCACCACTGGTAGAAAAAGTCATTTCAGGCAGTCCTTTTCTGCCTCCCATTACGTGATCTCAGAAATACTACTGGACTCTTCAGTTGGGGAGGAAGAAGCCAGTGCAGTGCAGAGGAAAGAACATGGGCTGTGAGACGGACAGACTTGTTTCTAGGGATTATAAACAGCTGCTTCAGTGATCAGACTCTGCGTAGGTGTCTTGAACTCTACAATCTGTTTCCTCACCTGAAAAATAAGGGTCATAATTCCCATCTCAGTGTTTTTGAGAATGCTGTTAAATTAAATAAGATGGAGTACGTAAAGTGCTTAGCACAGTACTACCACAAACAGTTCTTAGCAAATGTTTTCTCTTCCTCACTAATGGAAGGCAGAAATAATAACATAATTAAATGTGATGAATTGGAAGAATCATATAAAAATCATACAACTGATGGCTAAGTCACTAGATTAGAAGATTAATGACTGGAATTAACATGGCCAGGAAGCAGGGTAGGATCCTTCCTCTTGTACTTGCAATTTAGGTCTCATAGTCAAGTCTCGGGAAGGTAGTTCTTTGAGTTGTTCAATTCAAATACAGACCAGTAACTCACACTTACACGACACCTACAAGTTGTCCAGTGTACTAGACCCTGGGAACACAGAGATGAAAGACCCAGTGCCTGCCGACCCTCATGAGCTCAGTCTACTAGCCATCAGGAAGGACGGGGAGGCACTAAGGACATTACCTATCTTCTCTTGTCTTCTTCTTAACACGAAAATGTCCCCTGTGAGGGATAATATGTTAAGCTTTCATCAATCAGGAACATTTTAATTTTCATATACTCACAGACTGGAAAAGACTAGAAGCCACATGTTCCAAGTTCCTCACTTGACAGAGAGGGCAAAAGAGGCCTAAAGGAGGAGAATGATTTTCACAAGTTCATAAAATTGGTTTTTGGCAGAAAGAGGAAAGGAATATAGGAATGCTCCTACCTAGCCCTGTGTTGGCTCTACAGCTTTAGACTATTGGCTCAGTGGAAGTCTATGACCTCTACCTGAAAAACACTTCAAAGCATATGCCCTACTTGGGGTGGCTCTTCTCTTGAGGGCAATGTTCACATATGACATCCTGGCGGGAAACCAGCTTTCTTTCTTCCTTGTTCAATTTTCAGAGCCAAAGTCACAGTCGAAGTTGGACTCCAGAGAAGAGAAGAGAGGGGAGGGGCCCCTTATCTCCCACTGAGCTTCTTACCAATTATGACATCATCTTTGCCCCCTGCCCAAGACAGGGCTTTAATATAAGAAGGCAGGGAGCCATTTTGATCATAAACAATTTCTGAAGCATGAAGAGGAAATGATTTTCGCAAGAACTGTGTTTAAGACATCTATGCTTTCTACCTTGGTTGCTTAGAGGAAAATAGCATTAATTCCTCCAAAGAAATGATTAGATTTTAATGGTTTCTTTGGTTTAGATTTTAGTGCAATCACTATGCATGTTTGTGTGAAAAATAGTGGCAAATAACGAGTTTAAAGGTTCAAATAATCTGGTTTTTTTAACCAAGGAAAAAATAATGACTCTTCAAAGTTGAATATTTTGTAGCAGGTTCACCTCTAGATTTCTACTATGGAGCAGAAAACAACAGAATGGTGTGAATGTCCTCTCTCCCTGCTGGAGTGAGAGAGTTTGAAAACTACCATCTCTGCAGGGATTACAACCCAACAGCCTGTTTTTCTGTTTCTTATCTGCTTCTCTCCAAAGAGGGAAGAGAAAACAGAATGGCAATCCCTTTGAACTAGCCCTGGTTCAAAGACTCTAGGATAAATGTTTTGCTTATGTTTGTGATACAAGGAGGAAGTAGTTACTTACAGAATGCACTTAGTCATTACTTCTAAGTCATCAATTATGTTCATTTCTGACATTTCACCTCTTCAACAACTTTTATGATAGCGGCATCTACTTTGACAGTTTTCTGTTTATTCCACCTTTCTCCCTGCAGTACTGGTTTGAAGTTGTATTATCTTTAAAAGGTAAACAACGACTATACTTCTGAATTCTAGCTTCTGAACTATAATGTGGCAAGTAGAATTACATTCAGTATATTTTTTAACAAGAATTAGCAATTAATTTAGTGTTCTGATTATTATTTATATTATGCATGGATCATAGGGGATTCCTGTGGTGACTTCCAGGGAATAAGTTCTCTGGAGACATGGTCTAACCCAGGTCAACACCTCAATAGGGACTGAATCTAGCTGGCACTTAAAGAGGCTGGGGTGGATTGGTTTGCAGTGGAATGACAAGGAGGCAGAACCAGGATATGAGACTGAAAAACAAAATCTGCAATTACGTGGCTTGAGGACTTCTTCCTCTCATAACCACATGGTCATACCTCCTCCTCGAATTTACTAGATCACCCTCTAACACTCGATCCATTCGATTCATGCTCAGGCTTCTTATGATTCCTGCAAGACTCTGGAAGCCTTGGAGAAGAAAGGCTGTCCTGTGCATAGCGCTAGAGTGGCTTTATAAACATTAGATTGGTGTGTTCAGCCTTTGAACAGGGGTCAGCAGGCGTTTTTTTTAAACTTTTCAGTGAGATTATGATAGTTTACAACCTTGTGAAATTTCAGTTGTACATTATTGTTTGTTAGTCATGTTGTAGGTGCACCACTTCACCCTTTGTGCCCACCCCCCAACCCCCCTTTCCCCTGGTAACCACTAATCTGTTCTCTTTGTCCACATGTTTAACTTCCACCTATGAGTGGAGTCATACAGAGATTGTCTTTCTCTGTCTGGCTTATTTCACTAAACATAATACCCTCACGGTCCATCCATGTTGTTGTGAATGGGACTATTTTATCCTTTTCTATGGCTGAGTAGTATTTCATTGTAGATATATATACCGTATCTTCTTTATCCAATCATCAGTTGATGGGCACTTAGGTTGCTTCCATGTCTTGGCTATTGTAAATAATGCTGCAATGAACATAGGGGTGCATGGGACTTTTGGAATTGCTGGTTTCAGGTTCTGTGGATAGATACCCAGTAGTGGGATAGCTGGGTCATATGGTAGTTCTATTTTTAATTTTTTGAGAAATCTCTATACTGTTTTCCATAGTGGCTGCACCAGTTTGCATTCCCACCAGGAGTGTATGAGGGTTCCTTTTTCTCCACAACCTCTCCAACATTTGTTACTTTTTGTTTTGGTTATTTTTGGTCTAGAGGTATTTTAAAAACATATTTTTTATGCAATTTGGCATTTAGTGCAGTTTGAGTTTTTGTAGGTCCTCTTTTAAGAAAATTCCTGAATGCCATAAACTAGTTGATTTGCAGGACTATGGTATATATGGAAAATGTTACAGTCCCATTTTTTCTACCAGTAATGCTTTTAAAGATCTTGGAATGCATCAGGATGGCTGTGAAGAAATGAAGGTATAGGACAAGCAGGAGATGAAATGAGAAAAAATGCACCACACAGACCAGAGAGAGAACCCAAAAAGCATTCCTAGAGGTTGCAAAAACACTTTCAAATGTAGAAAGAAAAGAACCGCACACTGAAGACTGAATGAGGTGAGGTGAAATGGACCAAAATGTTTACTCGATATGAAAAGCTGGCAATGTATGAAATATGGTTACTTTTAGCAACAGCATCGGATGTAGATTGTTCCTTTTTCATGTATGTTATGAGTAGAGTGTTGAAACTACAGTTCTAGAGAAAAATATAAGGTCTGTCATTCTGGGGTGAAAAAGTCTTTCGGTCTACAAAGAGACCACACCTCCTTCTTTACCAATGTCCCAACAGAGATGAACTTAGCGACACTGAATGTTAACGACAAAAGCAGAGCTGCACTTTTCCAGGTCTTATTTCCATTTTTATTAAATTTCTTCCTTGCCCCAAACCTTTGAATTTCTTTCGGCTTGTCCTTATTTCATTTCAGTCCCCAGTACTGTGAATCAATGCTAATTTGGCTGTCCAGATGCTATTACACATGCTGTTTCTCATCTCCCTTTGCCTGTTTGCTGCCTTTAATATTCGGAAATATCTGTGCATAGGAGTTGCTTCTCATTGATCAGATTTACTTTAAAATATCTTTGATTTAAAAAAACAGACAAGAAAAATCTTCATGGCATAAAGGAGGGAGAGTGGACATCTAGCGTCAGCCACTTACTGACTGTGGAAAGTTTGAGAAGTGACTTCATCTCTCAAACTCTGAGTTTCCTTATCTGCAAAATGAAGGTGTTGGAGCTGATAATCTTGAAGCTCCCTCCAGAGCTAACAATCTTATTTTTTGAGATAAAAATCAACATCGGTCAGTCAGTGTGATGTGAGTAAAGCGAAAAAGTAGAATATCTACGGCCTTTTTCACAGAATAGCAGAATCTTAGCCTGTAAGGGATCTTACAGTACTTCCAGCTCTCCTTTATTTTGACATTTGGGGAAAATGATGCCCAGAGAGATGAAATGACTTGTGACACAACTATACAATAGCAGGAACGGTGATTTAATATATTATGTATCTATAAACAATGCCCTGGCGGTCTAGGGGTCAAGAATCAATGATTTTACCACTGTGCCTGGGTTCGTGTCCTAGTCAGGGAACCACACCCCGAGTCTGTCAGTTGTCAGACTGTGGTAGCTGTGTGTTGCTGTGATGCTGAAAGCTATGCCACTGGTATTTCAAATACCAGCAGGATCTCCCATGGTGGACAGGTTTCAGCAGAGCTTCCAGACTAAGACAGACTAGGAAGAAGGACCTGGCCACGCACTTTCAAAAAAGTTGCCCATGAAAACTCTATGAATAGCAGCAGAGCATCATCTAATACAGCCCAGAAGGCGAGAAGATGACCTAAAAAGACCAGGCAGTGTTCTGCTCAGCTGTCCACAGGGGCACTAGGAGTTCAAATCTATGCAACAGCACTAACAACAAAAATAATGCTATGAGTTTCTGCAGACTTTAATGGTTTAAGCGATAACACTATTTGGCAAAGCTCATAAATGTGTCATTAGGGGTTTGGAAGTACTAAAAGGCAGAGAGTTGGGATAGGTCTGTGTATTAATCAGGGTTCCTTAGAGAAATAGAACCAATAGGATATCTATATACAAACACACACACACACATATATAGGCAATCTGCTTTATGGAGCTCACCAATTCAAATGCTAATCTCATCTGGAAATACCCTCAGAGACACATCCAGAAATAATGTTTAATCTGGGCACACCGTGGGCTAGTCAAGTTGACACATAAAATTAACCATCACAGTCTCACATGGCTGTGCCACGGAAGATTTATAAATCTAGAAGACAGGTTATTGAAATGGACAAAATGCAAAATAGACAACCACATAAGAAAATATATCTTCCCCCACGTGCTTGTTGGTCTAGCTAAATGAAGGACTGTGCAAACTGCCAAATACACGGAGTCTTGCACTAGGGTCAAATCCCAGAAATATCATACTTTAAACAAGGGTTTTAAGAATCCATGTGCTTTTCAAAGAGTTATCAGCCACATAAATCTCCTCAAAAGTAAACCTCCCTCAACAGTGATATATGCAATGTCCTGCTGCTGACATTTTAAGTGCTGTTGTAAAAGCATATTGCGGTTAATTTAAAACGTAATTAATGGAAGATTAATTGTTATCTCAGAAACTGGAACACGTTACTGACAAGTGAAATTGGTGGTCTGCATGAAATCTAGAGTCAAAGGGAAGGGATCAGTCTGTGTCTCTCCAGCACTGTCTAGGAGAGGCTAGGCTAGGACTTGCCCCAATTCCTTAAACAGAAATAGCCGAGAATGGCAAACAGTTGATCATTGGACTTGGTAGAAAATCTCTGTAAAATATCCATCTGCCTTTGTTTCCATTCTCCTCTCCCCAAAGGCCTTTCGGTGTATAACTGAACAGATCTGCAGATCAGAAGAGCATGCCCCATCCAGGACTAGAATGTCCCGTATAATTTCCAGTTTAGCAATAAACTGAGGCGCTGGTGAACAACTGCCTATGGAGTTTATAAGTCAGTACTCTAGACCTGGATTGCCCCTTGGAAATCATGGAAATATGTAGATTATAGCAGTTAGAAAGAGTAAGTCCTGAACCAGTGTCCCTCTCAATATGCAGCCAACCTAACAGGACACGATGAGCCTTTATTTTAATTAACATCTGAATTTCAAGCTGGATTTCCCACAGATGTTTCCCCCATGATCCATTGTGGCAAAGGAACAAGGAGGGCATGCAATCAAAGAGAAATTGACAAATTTCTAGATATTCAATTAGAGAGAATTCCCTGAAGAAATAGCACAAAGTTAAGTTAAATTTTGGTGAAAAAGAAGACAGTAATGCTTTTTACAAGTCTCATTTCCATCAGGACCAATGTCAGCCTGGAGGACACAGGAAAGCCCTACACACTGGGGCAAAGGGCAGCACAGAAGGCAGACACCACAAACCTCACCATTTTCCGGAAGCTGACTCCGCTTCTATTAATGGACATCTTAGTGATTCCTTTTTCACTTGGGAGTCATGTTAACAGGATTGAAAACTACAAACCCTTGATACATGTATTTTGATTTTATCAACTGAATCCAAAATGGAAAACAAAAATACTATAACATGAATATTCAAATGAAAATATATATGCAAAACCCAAAACAAAACAAAACCCCCAAAGCATTGACTTTAGGGCCAGCTCAATCACATGTCAGGTATGACGGCCCACCAAACACCCCAGGATTCTGTATAAGCTAGGAAACTATGTCTTATATTTATTTTGTCTAACAGGCAGCATCCAGCAGAGTGAGGAGCCTAGAGAGAAAGAATTTGTTGAATTGATGCACTGATTATAAATTCAGCAGATCTGGCAACTACCGAGACTTGCCATCATGACCAAGTCACCAAGCTCTAGCCCCAAGGCTGCAGGCCAGGACTCAGAGTCCTCAGGAGTGCCAGGAAAGCTCTGAGACCCAGCATTCAACTTTGGAAAGGACGGGCTCTGTGACATGGTGCACCCATGAATCAAAATGTCCTCCTTTTGTTTAACACGATCCCACACTTCTGGGTTATTAGCTTGTTTGGTGATCCTCAACACAACAGGAAGAAAGGAAATTGAAATACCCTGCATGTTACATTAACCTTCCTCAGGGTCTGCTGTTCACTTTTGAGAAGTTATTTTTAGCACAACCTTTCTCTCAGATATAATAGTATTATGTCTAGTCAATACGTTTATATAGTTGGTATATCATAAAGGCCTTTTTCTTTCTTTTATTTTCTTATTCTTTTCTTAGGATAAAATTGAGAATCATTAGCATTCAGGTGAGTTTAGACTGGAAGGAACACACATGTCATTTGATATCTGGAAAATTGGAATTGATAAAATATGTGAATCTCAGAGAGGAGTGATAATAGATACTGAGTGTTAGGGAAAAACTGAAAGAAAAAGAGAACATGAGTTAAGCTTAGGCATTGAATGTAAGGAATAGAGGGGTGCCTCTCAATTAAAACGCACAAGGTGGGTGTGTCAGAGGTGGATACATATTAACTTTGAGGTGGATGATGGGAATATAGAAAGTAGGGAATTTTCAATTACTGTAGAGATAACAAGGACGTGGAAAATAAAACCTTGCTTGGTGAGGGAA